CACAGCTCTGTGTTCTTGTCTTAGCACTAACCCCCTCCCCCACTTCAGTTCCCACTTATGGGTCTTGCCCTCCTGCTGGGGCAGGTGTCCACTCTGAGGGACACTCGTGGGTCCTGCCCTCCCGCTGGGGCGGCTGTCCACTCTGAGGGACACTTGCGGTCTTGCCCTCCCACTGGGGCGGCTGTCCACTCTGAGGGACACTTGTGGTCTTGCCCTCCCACTGGGGCGGCTGTCCACTCTGAGGGACACGCTGGGCTCATCGCTGCCAGGTGCCCCAGCTGTACCACATCCAGCTCCAGAGCCAGAGCTTGCTGACTGCCTTCCACAAAAGGGGCCGAGACCCACGCAGCCCGCTCTGCCCTAGCGCCCCAAGAACGCTGGAGATTCCTGCTCCCCACCGCTGGTGACAAGGAGAGAAAAACAGCAAACCCCACCCGTGCCTCAAGGAAAAACTGGTTCTCCGCCTCCAGACCCTCAGCGTGGAAAATTCCAGTGCTGATCACTGGGAGTTGATATATTAATATTTTACTAGCTTATGAAGAACTTGTATTCAAAGAACAGTTCCCAAGAATTTATACATTAAATTACCAGTCATTTTAATGTTATGTTACAGAAAGGGGGGGGGCAGGAAGCAGCTTTTAATTGAACTTGATTGGATTTTTTTCCCTGTTGTTTACTAAATTCCAGCTTCTTCAATAGGTCTTTTTAGTTTGGTAAATACTGCTTTGAAGTACTTGTTATTCTATTTGTAGCCCAACTGAAGGGGACTAGTAACACTAGCTCCCATTGTTTATTGGTGAAGCAGAATAACAAATGATTATACAATGTTGCTGGGGGCGAGGGAGAAGGAAGGCTTTGTCAAGCTCAGATTGCATTTGTATCCAGAATTCCAGGGGCCACAGGTTCAACGAATAAGTGAACAAACTTCTGAAAACTAAGGCCATCCATCATTGCAGCCTACATTAACAAACAGCACTCAGACTTGCTAACCACCACTGGCTTTCCATTCTAACGCTGGAGCAATAAAAGCATTCTTCCATCCTGCTACTACCACTAGGAGCTCTCCTTACCAGATACTTAACCTCATTACGACTAACTTATTTTGATAAAGATGTAGATAAAGAAGTTTGGTGGAGAGACGTTTCTTGGAATGAGGGCAGGGGTGCAAGATAAGAAACCTTTTTCATAAATTACACTCTAATCTAAAATCTGGGTATGTATTTGACTTCATCAGATCAGTTTAACTGGAAAAAAATGACAGAGAAATTTACAACCAACAGGCGTGGCTCTGGAATGTTTTAAAGGCTTGTTTCTGTCACTGCCTTTAAGAAGCGGCCTCTCCACCCCAGCACTCGGCATCCTCCCACCCATCAACCAATGCTGGAGGTGTAGAGGCAGACCCAGAGCTCCCATCGGAGGGTTCACTTCCCCCGTAGGACTGGGCTGGGCTGAAACAGGAGTTGGGAACTCAGTCCGATTCTGCTATGTGACAGGGGCCCAACCACCTGCTGCTTCCCTGGGTCCATAATAACAGGAAGCTGGCTGGATCAGGAGCAGTCAGGACTCCAACCCAGGCACTAGGATGTGGGATGCGGGCATCCTGATATCTAGTGGTTACCTTAGCCGCCAACACACACCCTAGGGTGTGGCACAGTGAGTTAAGCCACTGTTGTGAAACCAACTGTTGCAGGTATTTGGGGAATGAACCCGCAGGAGGAAGATCTGTTACTGTCTCTCTGTTGTCTCTCTGACACTCTACCTTTCTGGATGGAGCTCTGGGACCAGCCACAGATTTGGGGAGTGAGCCAACCTCTCGCTCCCTCTCTTTCTTTTTCTGTCTCTCTCTGTCACTCTCCCCTTCAAAATTCAATCTTGGGGCTGGTGTTGTGGCATAGTGGGTTAAGCCACCGCCTTTGAAGCCAGCATCCCATAGGAGCACCAGTTCGAGTCTCAGCTGCTCCACTTCCTATCCAGCTCCTTGCTAAAGCTCCTGGGAAAGCAGCAGAAGATAGCCCAGGTGGCTAGGCTCTGCCACCCAAGTGAGAGACTAAGATGAAGCCCCTGGCCTCAGCCTGGTCCAGCTCTGACTGTTGCTGTCATTTGGGGAGCGAACCAGCAGATGGAGGATCTGTCTCTCCTCCTTTATTTCTTTAAGTTTTATTTATTTACTTATTTATTTGAGAGACAGAGTTACAGACAGATAGGCAGAGAGACAAAGAGATCTTCCATCTGCTGGTTCACTCCCTACATGGCCACAACAGCCAGAGTTGAGCCAATCTGAAGCCAGGAGCCAGGAGCTTCTTCTGGGTCTCCCATGCAGGTGCAGGGGCCCAAGCATTTGAGCCATCTTCTACTGCTTTCCCAGGCCATAGCAGAGAGCTGGATTGGAAGTGGAGCAGCCGGGACTCGAGCCGGCACCCATATGGGATGCCAGTGCTGCAGGTAGAGAGGCTTAGCCTGCTACGCCCCAGCGCCAGCTCCCCCTTCTCCCTTTCTTAACTGCCTTTCAGATCGATAAATCTCTAAAAATATATAAAATAAAACAGACACACACACATCAAGGAGAAGTATTTAATTTTAAATGTCTACAAACTTGGTGAACCATCGAAGTGGTGACTTTACACGTGTTAACTGTTTGTGGACTGACTCATATCTCAACCAGGCTGTTCTAAACTCACGTTAAAAAGGAACCACTTGTGGTTTTATAAGGAGAGTGGCGCTAGGGCCGGGCCCTCCTGCTGTGAGTCACACCTCCGCCTCTGGCCTCTCAGTTCCTCATCCTCACGCGGGAGCAGTGGGGCTTCCCATGCGCGCTCAACACGCCCTCCCTGTGGCCCAGTGCTCAGGGAACACACAGGTCGGGCACTGCACTGAGGGCACAGAGGGAAGGGGGCGGTCTCCATAGACTGATATGGGCAGTGAAAACCAGGCCTTTAAGAACAAGATGGCCAGCACTGTGGCACAGCAGGTAAAGCTGCCACCTGCAGTGCCAGCATCCCATATGGGCACTGGTTCCAGTCCCGGCTGCTCCACTTCTGATCCAGCTCTCTGCTATGGCCTGGGAAAGCAGTAGAAGATGGCCCAAGTCCTTGGGCCCCTGCACCTGTGTCAGAGACCTGGAACAAACTCCTTGCTTCTGGCTTCGGATCGGCACAGCTCCAGCCATTGTGGCCATTTGAGGAGTGAACCATCAGATAGAAAATCTCTCTCTCTCTGCTTCTCTGTAACTCTTTCAAATCAATAAATAAATCTTTTTAAAAAATTTTTTTAAAATAAATGTAAATGGCCGGCGCCACGGCTCACTAGGCTAATCCTCCACCTGCGGCGCTGGAACCCCGTGTTCTAGTCCTAGTCGGGGCACTGGATTCTGTCCCGGTTGCCCCTCTTCCAGTCCAGCTCTCTGCTTTGGCCTGGAAAGGCAGTGGAGGATGGCCCAGGTCCTTGGGCCCTGCACCCGCATGGGAGACCAGGAGGAAGCACCTGGCTCCTGGCTTCAGATCGGCGCAGTGTTCCGGCCGTGGTAGCCATTTTTGGGGGGTGAACCAATGGAAGAAAGACCTTTCTCTCTCTCTCTAACTCTGTCTGTCAAAAAATAAAAAAATAAAAAAAGTAAGCAAAAAAAGGTGCCAGTGATAAAACCACACCAAAGGCTAAGTCACTTTGATGATCTTTTGCTAATTATAAGGTCATCATAAAAACAAATAAGTAAAAATCATGGCTAACACGCACCTGACACCAGGACAACGTTATGATTTCCAAAACAGGACAAGGAGACGCAAGGTAGTAAACCCCGGCCCCAAACTCCACACCTTAAGAATGTTCCAGTAAACCCCGCCCAGCCACCGCTCCCTGCCCTCCAGAGCACACAGTGGGCTGGACCCGCGGCTCCTTGGGTGCAGCTGTCCTGAGCCTGTGCACTCCTGCAATGCACGCTTCCACTCTGCCTGCAAATCAGTGTTGCTTCTCCGCTGAGCTGCACCTACAGCGGGTCCTCACGTTCCCGGACTCGGCCACCCACCACCAGCAGAGGCTCAGACAGGCAATCATAGGTTTATTTTAGGAAACACAAGCCAGAAACAGCTACAGGAGGCAGCAGGCAGGTGAGAAGTCAGAGGCGGGCTTCAAGCGGGGCTGGGGGGAGGAGTTTCTAAGTGCACCCACTCCACCCATATTCTACTGAGTAATCTACCGGTCCTGTTATAGTTAAACTCCATCCAGCTATTGCTGTCCTGTGCCAGGGTCTCTGAGACCACGAAGCAGAGACGGTGCGCAAAGAGGGCCCTGGGAGAGACGGGTTAGGACGGCGCACCTGCCTGGGAGGAACGGGTTAGGACGGCGCACCTGCCTGGGAGAGACGGGTTAGGACGGGGCACCTGCCTGGGACAGACGGGTTAGGACGGCGCACCTGCCTGGGAGAGACGGGTTAGGACGGCGCACCTGCCTGGGAGAGACGGGTTAGGACGGCGCACCCGTCCTGCGCTGTGGGGCCCCGGCAAGCCGAAGGCAGGTACCTGGGCAGGTAGGAGGGGAGGCAGAGGCGGCCCCGGGCTCCTGGACGCAGGAGAAGCTAGGGCCTCACTCCGGCCGGCCACTGCCCGCGCTGAGCGCACCCCTGCGGCTGCCCGTCAGCCCAGCGGCCCCTCACACCCTCCAAGGCCCGCGCTACGCCGTCGAGGCCGCGAGGGAGGCCCTGGAGCGAACAAAGGAAACTCCCACAGCGCCCGGAGCACAGAAGCGGCTGCGGGAGCCCGCGGCTTCGCTAACGCAGTGCGGGCGGCGTGACAGGCACCGCTGCTGAGCAGAAGCAGCCAATCCGCGTGAGGGGGGGCGGAACCTCTTCTGCGTCGGGACGGGGGGCGGGGGGCGGTGCTGCCTGCACATCCGGGGCTTTCGCCTTACCGGCGGCTGCCTCCCGAGGTTCCGCCTCGGAGGGCGTTCCCTAGCGCTGATTGGTTGGTAGTTACCAGGGCCTGCTCTGATAGGCTATCTCGTGGCGGAGGCCTCGCCTAGAAGATGGGGCGTTGTCTGTGCGTTGCGCAGGCAGCGAGTCCCAGGCAGCCCTGCCCTCCGCCGGGCGAGCGGGGCCGGCGCCCGTCTCCCGGGGCCTAGCAGGGGGAGCGGTCCCCAGGCCTGGCCGTCCTAGGGGGATCTGCGGGCGCAGGGAGGTGGGAAGAGCAGGGGGGCGTGGGGAGGGGCCGCGCGCAGGACGACCTTTCTTTGTCACATTTTTTCTAAAGATTTATTTATTTGAAACAATTCCAGAGAGAGAGCTTCCTTCGGGTGGTTCGCTCCGCAGGTGGCCAGGGCTGGGCCGGGCCGAAGCCAGCAGCCCAGTGCCAGGAACGCCATCCGGGTGTCCTGTGTGAGTAGCAGGGACCCAGGGACCTGAGCCATCATCGGCCACGTTGCAGGTGCGCCCGCAGGTAGCTGGGACCTGAACCTTCCCTCCACTGAGGGATGCTGGCGTCACAGCCACAGCTAGCCCACCGTGCCACCCTGCCAGCCCCTGTTTCTTTTTTTTTTTTTTTTGACAGAGTGGACAGTGAGAGAGAGAGTGACAGAGAGAAAGGTCTTCCTTTACCGTTGGTTCACCCTCCAATGGCTGCCGCGGCCTGTGCACCGAGGCCGGTGCATCGCGCTGATCCGAAGCCAGGAGCCAGGTGCTTTTCCTGGTCTCCCATGGGGTGCAGGGCCCAAGCACCTGTGCCATCCTCCACTGCACTCCCTGGCCACAGCAGAGAGCTGGCCTGGAAGAGGGGCAACCGGGACAGAATCCGGCGCCCCGACCGGGACTAGAACCCGGTGTGCTGGCCCCTGTTTCAATTTTTATTTATTTACTTGAAAGAGTTATGCAGAGAGAGAGGTCTTCATCCGCTAGTTCACTCCCAAATTGGCCACAACGGCTGGAGCTGCACCTATCCGAAGCCAGGAGCCAGGAGCTTCTTCCAGGTCTCCCCGTTGGGTGCAGGGGCCCAAGCACTTGGGCCATCTTCCACTGTTTTCCCAGGCCACAGCAGAGAGCTGGATCAGAAGTGGGCAGCTCAACCAGCGCCCATGTGGGATGCTGGCGCTTCAGAAGGCGGCTTTACCCGCTGCAGCGCCAGCCCCGCTGAGTTGGCCAGCCATTCCCAGGAAACTCGGTCATTTTCTCTTGGTCTTGGATGGAGCCAGGTTCCAGAATGCCAGTCCATAATTGTGGGGTGAGGTCTGCTGTCCCTGGCATATTGTAGAGCAGGGATACTTTGCAGTTGATTTAGACATTTGTGCCTTTCCTGTAGCTTCCTTCTGTCTCCCTCTGCCAGATAACTCAAAGTTTTAATGGTGTTATCAGAAGCCTCCTTGGAGAGGCTGATGATATCCACAATTTTTTTTTTTTAACAGGCAGAGTGGACAGTGAGAGAGACAGAAAGGTCTTCCTTTTGCCATTGGTTCACCCTCCAGTGGCCACTGTGGCCGGCGCACCACACTGATCTGATGGCAGGAGCCAGGTGCTTCTCCTGGTCTCCCATGGGGTGCAGGGCCCAAGCACTTGGGCCATCCTCCACTGCACTCCCGGGCCACAGCAGAGAGCTGGCCTGGAAGAGGGGCAACCGGGACAGAATCCAGCGCCCCAACCAGGACTAGAACCTGGTGTGCCGGCGCCGCAAGGCGGAGGATTAGCTTAGTGAGCCGCGGCGCTGGCCTCACAAATTTAAGACTGTTCCCTCATTTAATTTCTTTAACTGTAGCTCTCTCAGGTCTCCAAATTTCCCCTAAAATTGTAGGAGAGTCTTGAAATCTTTGTGATGGAACAATCTGACCTACTGCAATTTCTGGTGAGTTGTTGGGTTTTCCCACTGACAGGCAAAATAAAGGAATGCAGAGAAACCCCCTTTGGTGGAAGACACTGTGTGCAACGTCTGCATCCCATGTCAGAGTGCCTGGGATCAAGTCCCACCTCCACTTCCCATGCAGCTTCCCACTAGTGCACCTGGGAACAGCAGTGATGGCCCAAGAACTTGGGTTCCTGCCCCTATGTGGTAGACTCAGATGGAGAGCCTGTCTCCTGGATTCAACCTGGCCCTGTCCCAGCTGTTCTAGCCATTTGAGGAGTGAACCAGTGCACAGAAACTTTTGCTTTCTCTATCTCTCCCTTTCTTTCTGTCACTCTGCCTTTCAAATAAATATTTATTTTATTTTTAAAAGAACGCATCCTTTAATTCTAAGACCATATGATACTTGCTGTTCTCTGGCAAATTGGCCAACAGAGTGGGATTGGGTACTATGGGATGGATGTCCTGTAGTCTTTTTTTTTTTTTTTTACTAGAAAGGCGGAGTTATAGAAAGGGAGGTGGGGGGGGGCTGGACTTCCATCCACTGGTTCACTCCCTAAATGGCTGCAACAGCCAGGGCTGGGCCAGGCAAAGTCAGGAGCCAGGAGCTTCCTCTGGGTCTCCCACGCAGGTGCAGGGGCCCAGGCACATGGACCACCCTGCACTGCTTTCCCAGGCCATAGCAGGGCTGGCTTGGAAGTGGAACAGCTGGGATCCCGGTGCCGCAAGCTGTGGCTTTAACCCGCTGGACCACAGCATGGGCCCCGAGAAAACAAATCTAAAATACACATGCAGGAGTGTTTCAAGGAGACCTACGGGACCCGATCCATCCCTGAGTTAGGAGCCTTTTAAAGCCAGTAGTAAGAGCGCAGCTGTTGCTTTGGGTCTCAGCGGATATTCTTAGCCCTGTGGTCAGCCTTTCTGGTGTTATCTTTACAGGTTGGGTGTTGACAGCCCATCCCATCTGTCCCTGGACCCAGACTTCCGGATTAACCCGACCTAAAAGACCTTCTGGAATGGTTTCAGGATCCTTAGGTGCCTCATGGAGGAGAGCCAAGAATTCCTCGCCTGGCTGCTTGGGACTGAACACTTGTACTTGGCCTTGACTTAAATACACAGTAGCAGTCGACATGTTCCGTGGTTGTCTTCCCATGAGGGGGAAATGGCACAGTGATTCAGACACCACTTGGGCCTCCCATGTCCTGACCTGTAGTGTCTGGGTTTGAGTCTCAGGTCCTCTTCCTGCTAACATGCACGTACCCTGGGAAGACGGCAGGGAAGGCTCAAAGAGATGGGCTCTGGCCACCTACCTGGGAGACCTGGCTCTTGGCTTTGGTGCAGCCCAGCCCTGTCTGGTACAGGCATTTGGAGAGTGAACCAGCAGATGGAAGACCTCTCTGACTCTGCTCGCTCGCTCGCTCTCTCTCTCTCTCTGCCTCTCATATAAATAAATAAATTTTAAAAAGCATAAGGCGGAGCATTTAGGGATATATGGAAACCAGTGAGCCAGAAAGAATCTCATTACATCACCTTTCCTGACACTCCTAGCAAACTGGTTTTTTTTCTTTAAAGATTTATTTATTTGAAAGGCAGAGTTACAGAGAAGCAGTGGCAGAAGCAGAAAGAGAGAGAGAGGTCTTCCATCCACTGGTTCACTCCCCAAATGGCTGCAATGAGTGGAACTGAGCCAATCCGAAGCCAGGAGCCAAGAGCTTCTTCTGGGTCTCTCACGTGGGTGCAGGGGCCCAAGGACTTGGGCCATCTTCTGCTGCTTTCCCAGGCCACAGCAGAGAGCTGGATCAGAAGTGGAGCAGCCAGGTCTCAAACTGGTGCCCATATGGAATGCTGGCCCCGAGAGACCTTTTCAACAGGTCACCCAGCAGCTGGCACTGTAGCGTAGTGTGCTAAGCCTCTGCCTGCGGCACCAGCATCCCATATGGGCTCTGGTTGGTGTCCTGGCTGCTCTACTTCCAATCCAGCTCTCTGCTATGGCCTGGGAAATCAGTAGAAGAGGGCTCAAGTGCTTGGGCCCCTGCACCTGCATGGGAGACCTGGAAGAAGCTCCTGGCTCCTGGCTTCAGATCGGTACAGCTCTGGCTGTTGTGGTCATTTGGGGAATGAACCACCAGAAGGAAGACTCTCTTTCTCTCTCTCTCTCTCTCTCTCTCTCCCCCCTCCCATCCCCCACCTCTCTGTAACTTTATCTTTCAAATAAGCAAATAAAAATATTTTTTAAAAAAAGTCAGCCCAGAGTATGTGGCTCCACTGTCAAGAAAATCTCCACTTTCTCCCTTCCTCTCTCCCCCCGGGGCTGCTGGGGCTCCTTAGGTGAGGTTTGGCTTGGATCCCCAGGAGCCAATCAGGGAGCGCCCTGGCCCCATCCATCTTCTGTCAAAGGGGCAATGAGAAGAATGAGGCTCGCCCTGAGCCCTCCCCCTGGGGGCAGGGGCGGGGTGCCCACACTGGCCAGGCCCGGATGGAGCGGGTGGCCTTTGTGGGTACCACATTAGGGGCCAGGGTTCCTCACTGTGGCGGCTTCTCTCCTCCTGGGTTACTCGGAGCGGACTGGGGAGAGCACCGACCAACAGCGCCAGCCGCCGTGGCGTCTTCCCGTCCTCCTGCTCAGCTTCCGCTTCCCTGCGCGCTCAGGGTGCCTGGTAGTGCCATCGGGGCCCAGGGGGTGCGGCGCCGGCCAAGCCGCCCTGCGGACGGAGGCCCACCTGAGGTCGGGGCAGCTCCTCTTCCGCCTGCGTCTTGCGACTTTCCGAGGAATCAGACTGTATTTCTGGTTCAATTTCTCTCTCCATCCCGGGGCATGTAGAGCCCCAGAAGGTGAGGGGCACAGGAACCCCCCTGTCCCGCTGAGATGAGGACAGCACCCACGGAGGAGGTTGCCGAAGCCCAGGTGCTCCGGTGCCCTTTCCAGCTGGCCAGGCATTAGGACACGAACAAGGAAGAGCGGCGTTCCAGGCACGGTGCCAAAAATCCCAGGGCGAGATGCACCACCGCCTGGCGATTTTTATCAGTCCTGGAACATAGAGTGCCCAGTAATTTTCTACCCGCGCCCTGCAGAGATCTCTAAATGCAGAGTTCTCTGACTGGTGCCACACCTGTCGTGTGAGGAGACAGGCTGGAGGAACCCGGAGACCAGGCCCAGACACGTCTCGCACCCTGGTGCTTTTATTCCAGCGGCCAGAAAAAGTGGTCCCTGTCTTGTGCCCGATTCTTCCCTCATACCGCAACCCCTGTCCAGGCTTTTACTGCGTCCCTTGTGAGCGCTGGTTCAAGTCCCGGCTGCTCCACTTCCGATCCCGCTTCCTGCTAATGCACCTTGGAAGGCAGCAGATAATGACCCAAGTACTGTGGCCCTGCCATCCGCAGAGGAGACCTGGATGGAGTTCCGGCCTCCTGGCTTCTGTCTGGCCTCGTAGCAGGGTTCATGTACCGAGACAAGACATCAAGGCCCCTTAACAGGAAATAGTCTTTTATTATACCAGCATAAGGCCCAGGGTTTTCCTTTGTATACGGTTTTAGCCTCTTTGTCTCTGGTATGTGGTTACCTCCATACATTTGATGGGATACTCTAATGTTACATGGCAGCTGCAGGATTGATACAATACTGCACATGCAAAGGTTATTTTTTTCCCCATATACTGAGCAGTAAGCTCTCTGGCAAGGGTTAACATCACTGCTCCGTACTAACAAGCAGGACCAGAAATGGTTACATAGAAGCAGATAGGGACTACAGCAGATAACAACCACATTTCATTCCCAGGACACATGCCTCCTTGTTTCCTCTCCTGACCTTGGGAAGGCCTCCACCACAGCTTTCACCATGTCAGTTAGAAACAAGTTTAATTAAAAGGCAAAAGCCTCTGCCACAGCCTAGCCCTAGCTGTTGCAGCCATTTGGGGAGCAACCCAATAGACAGAAAATGCTCTCTGTCTGTCTCTCTCTCTGTCCCTCTGCCTTTCAAATACATAAATAAATGTTTCTTTTTAGTCCTTTCTAGAGAAAAAGGGGACTGGTGGTGGTGCTGTGGCACAGAGGGTTAAGCCACCATCTGCTATGCCAGCATCCCATAGGAGCACTGGTTCGAGTCCCAGCTGCTCCGCTTCTTATCCAGCTCCCTGCTAATGCTCCTGGGAAACCAGCAGAGACCCAGAAGAAGCTCCTGGCTCCCGGCTTCAGCCTGGCCCAGCACCAACCGCTGTAGTCATTTGGGGACTGAACCAAACCAATAGGTGGAAGATCTCTCTCTCTTTCCTTCTTTCTGTCTGTAACTCTGCCTTTCAAATAAATAGATAACAAAAATTTTAAAGATTTATTTATTTGAAAGTGAAAGTTACACAGAGAGAGGAAGAGACAGAGGCAGAGGGAGATCTTTAAACTACTGGTTCACTCCCCAAATGGCCACAACAGCTGAGGCTGTCCAGGCTGAAGCCAGGAGCCAGGAGCTCCATCCAGGTCTCCCATGTAGGTGGCAGAGGCCAAGCACTTTGGCCATCCACCACTGCTTTCCCAGGCCATCAGCAGGGAGCTGGATCGAAAGTGCAGCAGCTGGGTCTCGAACTGGTGTCCATATGGGATGCCGGCATCACAGGCAGTGGCTTTACCCATTACACCACTACACCAGCCCCCAGTAGATAAAATACTTATTTAAAGCAACAGCAGAGGCCGGCGCTATGGCACAGCAGGTTAAAGCCCCAGCCTGCAGCGCCAGCATCCCATATGGGTGCCAGTTCGAGTCCCAGCTGCTCCACTTTCGACCCAGCTCCCTGCTAATGCACCTGGAAAAGCAGTAGAAGATGGCCCAACTGCTTGGGCCCCTGCACCAGTGTGGGAGACCCGGAAGAAGCTCCTGGCTCCTGGCTTTGGATCAGAGCTGCTCCAGCCCTTGTGGAGTGAACCATTGGATGGAAGACCTCTCTCTCTCTCTCTCTCTCTCTCCCTCTCTCTCTCTCTCCCTCTCCTCTCTGTGTAATTCTGACTTTCAAATAAATAAATAAATCTTTTAAAAAAATGAGTTTATCTGGGGGCAGGCATTTGATTCAGCAGTGAAAATGCCACTTGGGATGCCAACATCCCATCCCCGAGTGCCTGGTGCATGCGACAGTCCTCTGTTCCATTTCCAGTTTCCTGCTAATGTGCACCCTGGGAGGCAGCCCGTGAGGGCTCAAGAACTTGGATCTCGCCCACCCACGTGGGAGACCTCAGATTGAGTTCCAGCCTCCTGGCTTTGGCCTGGCTCAGCTCTGACTGTGGTAGGCATTTGGGGAATATAGCAGTGGCTGGAAAGATCTGTCTCTGTCTCTCTGCCTTTCATGTAAAATGAAAAGAGGGGCAGGAGCTGTGGTATAGTAGGTTAAGCTCCACCTGTGGCACTGGCATCCTATACAGACACCGGTTCAAGTCCCGGCTGCTCCTTCTTCTGATCCAGCTCTCTGCTATGGCCTGGGAAAGGAGTAGAAGATGGCCCAAGTGCTTGGGCCCCTGCACCTGCGTGGGAGACCCGGAAGAAGCTCCTGGCTCCTGGCTTCAGATCAGTGCAGCTCCGGCCATTGTGGCCAATTGGGTAGTGAACAAGCGGATGGAAGACCTCTCTCTCTCTCTCTTTCTCTCTCTCTGCCTTTCCTTCTCTCTGTGTAACCTTGCCTTTCAAATAAATAAATACACCTTTTTTAAAAAATACCTTTTTGGACTGCAGGTGACACGGGTCACTGATACCACAGAGGGGTGACTACACTAGCTGCCCAACTAATGTGTCCTAAGCCAGAGTGTGGAGGAGGTTCACTAACCACAAGATTCAGAAGCACCATTCACAGTGCATTCTTGGGGATCAGTTCCAGGCTGTTAGTTACTGACCTTGTGCACCTGCACGACCGACACGCCCTCTCTCATGTGTGCCCCTCTGTAAAGTGGGAGCCGGGACAGTGCCTCAGTTGGTGATGACCGTGTCTGAATGTGCCCCTGATGCAGGTGGTAATGACACCTGTCCAACTTAGGTTGAAGTTAGGGCAGAACCAATTAATTCCGTGTGTGTGACTCCTGTGAGCACGACCATCAGCGCCCCCAGTCACCCCCAGCCAGTCCTTAGGCTAATGAGCTTATAGTCCTCAGTACTAAAACCCAGCGCTTACAAACGAACATAAACTGGTCGTATAATGCATTAACGGTTTGTTTTTGTTTTTTTACATTAAGAAGTATTTGTGGGGCTGGTGCTGTGGTGTAAGAGGTTAAGCCTTCGCCCACAGCACCGGCATCCCGTATGGGCACTGGTTGGAGTCCCGGCTGCTCCACTTCTGATCCAGCTCCCTGCTGATAGCCTGGGAAAGCAGTGGAAGATGGCCCAAGTACTTGGGCCCCTGCACCTCCATGGGAGACCTGGAAGAAGCTCCTGGCTTCTGATTGGCACAGCTCTGACTGTTGCGGCCATTTAGGGAGTAAACCAACCGATGGGAGACCTCTCTGCAACTCTGCCTCTCAAATAAATAAATACATCTTTAAAAAAAAGAAAAGAAAAGAAAAAAGTGGTCTTAGGTCAAGATCACTAAAACCATCGCCTATTAATAAAAAATATTTGCAAGGAGTGAGTGTGGTGGTGCAGCAGGTTAAGCCACCATGTGGGAGCCCCGTGTCTCATATCTGAGTGCCTGCATCAAGTCCAGCCTCTGCGTTTTGAGCCAGCTCCCTGGTAATGCTCCTGAGAAGGCAGCAGATGATGGCTCAAGTCCCTGCCACCCACATGGGAGACCCGGATGGAGCTGCTGGCCCCTGACTTTGGCCTGGGCCATTCCTGGCTGTTGTGGCCATTTGGGGAGTGAGCCAACAGGTTCTGTCTCTCTCTCTCTCTCTCTCTCTCTCTCTCTCTCAGATGGGAGTGTTTATGAGGCAATGGTTAAAATGCAAATTTGGATGCCCAGGCCCCATTTTGGAGTACCTGGGTTTGAGTCCCAGCTGCACCCCCGCTTCTCACTAATGTACCCTGGGAGGCAGCAGGTGTATCCTGGGAGACCTGGATTGAGTCCCTACTTTTGGTTGGGCAGCCCCACCTGTTACAGGCATTTGGAGAATGAAACAGCAGATGGAGAGATCAATGCTTTTTTTTTTTTTTATCTGCTACCTGTCTCTCTCATTTGCAAATAAACTTTTTTTTTTAGTTATGCAGAGACATAAGTGTTTACTAAACGGTCCCTGACCTATCAGGGTGCCCAGGGGCTGGCTTGCCAGTGAAGTGTGTTTTCAGGAAGTCCCTGCCCTGTTCCTGTATGCAAATTCCTTACCAGACCCTTGGAGCCAAGCACTGGAATCTGATTTCTTATCTCTAACAAGCTGAGGGGGAGCTGGGTGGGAGGCACTGAGACCTACAGGGAAATCAGTCTGGGATCACGGATAGCCAGCCAAGGGCACCTACACTGGGTGGTGCAGGTCAAAACCTGGAGGGAACAAAGTGTCAGAGAGAGCAAAATAAAATGGCAAGACCCTGTTTCAACTCTATTTTTTTTTTTTTAAGATTTATTTGTTTGACATGCAGAGAGAGAGTCAGGGAGAGGTTCCATCCAGTGGTTTGCTCTCCAAATGCCCATAATGGCCAGGGCTGAGCCAGGCCAAAGCCAGGAGTTGACAACTCAATCCGGGTCTCCCACATGGCCCTCCCACTGCCTCCTAGGGTCTGGAATCAGAAGCCAGGGCCAAGACTCCTTGATGGAGAGGCAGGAATCTTCTCCAGCATCTGAACCCCTAGGCTAGACACACACCTCCCCTTCTGGAGCCTGTTGCTAAGGATACAAAGGCCAAATGAGGGCAGGGTGTGGCCCAGAGTGGGGCTTGAACATTGCATTCACACCAGGGCGCCCCTTCTGCTCTGGTCAGTCGTGGCCACCTGGCCTCCTTCCACGCCCCAAACACACTCTCCCCTTCTCCCGGCTCTGCCTGTTGCATTCTCCAAGTTCCCTGAGGAGAGAGAATCAGACAGGAATTCCTTAGGACACAGGGAACAAGAAGTGGCTGCCATTTTGCCTAATGTGGGATTCTTCCTCTCCTGTCAGAGGCACCGAGGGGCTCAGGGGTCTGAGGAAGGTTGAGCTGGTCCATCTGGAGAGCTGTACACACTCACACTCATACACACAGAGCCCAGGGAGATTAAAAATGACAGGGGAGAGGCGGTGCTGTGGTGCAGCAGGTTAAAGCCCTGGTCTGCAGTGCTGGCATCCCATATGGGTGCTGGTTCAAGTCCCGGCTGCTCCACTTCTGATCCCGCTCTCTGCTATGGCCTAGGAAAGCAGGCCCAAGTCCTTGGGCCCCTGCACCTGCATGGGAGACCTGGAAGAAGCTCCTGACTCCTGGCTTTGGTCTGGCTCAGCTCCAGCCATCGCAGCCATTTGGGGAATGAACCAGCAGGTGGAAGATCTCTGTCTCTCACTGCCTCTGTCTCTGCCTCTCCCTCTCTGTAACTCTATCTTTCAAGTAAAATAAATACATCTTAAAAGGGGGTGGGGGGGGAAGGGGGCAGCGCCGTGGCTAACTTGGCTAATCCTCTGCCTGCGGTGCCGGCATCCCATATGGGTGCCGGGTTCTAGTCCCAGCTGCTCCTCTTCCAGTCCAGCTCTCTGCTGTGGCCCGGGAAGGCAGTGGAGGATGGCCCGAGTGCTTGGGCCCTGCACCCACATGGGAGACCAGGAAGAAACACCTGGTTCCTGGCTTCGGATCAGTGCAGCGCTGGCCATAGCAGATATTTGGGGAGTGAACCAATGGAAGGAAGACCCTTCTCTCTGTGTCTCTCTCACTGTCTATAACTGTCAAATTAAAAAAAAAATGTTAAAAAAAAGAATGACAAGGGAAACCAAGACACACACCCGAGAGACCACCGCACAAGACCCCAAACAGCATTCCTACCCGTCTCCTCCAGTAGACGAAGCGACCCAGAAATGTGGGCCCCGCCCGTCTCAGTGTCACCCAGCTTAGAGGGACAGGTCCCAGAGGGCTCAAACACTGCCAGCTCCATGCTGTGTCACAGCGGGGGACACGCACGCACACACCTGGAGACCTGGACAGAAGAAGCAGGAGCCAGGCAGGGCAGCCAGAGAGCCACCCTGCCTGCGAAGGCAGCTCCGTGAGAAGCACTAGGCAAAAGGATCCAGGCTGCTGGTGGCCTTGTCCCCAAGGGAAACGGTGTGGTGTGGGGCAGTGTGTGTGTGTGGGGGGTGAGCGTCACTGATCTTCCCTGCTTTGTCTCGTGGCGGCAGCCTGGTCTCCCTGCCCTCTGCTCTCTGCAGAGGTGTGTGGGAAATTCCTCCAGGTCAGTACCAGCAGAGCCGACTCGGGCTTCGTGGTTTCGTGGCAGCCTCCTGTAGCTGTCCCCAGGTGCCACACCCCCTCATCCAGTCTCACCCTGGGCACCTGGGCTGCATGGAGATCTGGCTGGGGGTGCCTCCCTGGGGGTCAGAGAACTCCGTGTTATGGGGAGAGATCCCTCTACCCAGCCCAAGTGTCCCTGGGCCACTCAGCCCCCAAGGTCCCCTCCTAGGGCCACTCTCGGACCCTGCGCCCTGGGGGCCAGTTCTATACCTGCAGCGCCCTTCCAGCCTGCCCAGGCTGGAGACCCTCCCCCCAGTTCCTTGTCAGCCACCTCTGTATACCCCTGGATGAGGACAAATGTCCCTGGGCTAGGGAGAGCAGAGCAGAGAGGCATGGCCCAGTCTGCCGGAGCCCCTTTCCCCTTGGGGAGGCACCGAGAAGCCTCCTGGGCCTGGGTCCTTTCTGATTCCAGCCACAAGCCCTGGGCCAAGTGGAGCCAGGGTCTGGTCAGAGGGTGAGGGGTCCCAAAGGCTGCCCGTGGGCCCAGCCCTCCCTGCCAGTGAGCACCCAGCCCAGGGAGCCCCGGAAGTTCTGGAACCCCACTGCGGGTGCAAGAACCCAGAGGCCTGGAACCTGCCTCCTCCAGCTCTCCACTTAGGATCAGAGGGGCTCCCAGGCCAGTCCATTCCGCTCCCCGTCTCTGCTCATCCCTCAGCTCTGAGCTGGCCTGGCCAGGAGCCGGCCCTGCCCTGCCCTGCCCTGCCCTGGGTGTGGTGGAGGCAGGCCATGTCCATAAGAACAAGTTGGGAGGGTGGCTGCAGGAGTTCAAGGAATCTGATCAGCTCCCTCCGGCCTGCTGGCTGTGTGGCCCTGGGCGGGGCCGCCTGGGGTTTTTAAAGAGCGAACCCACCTGGGCTGGGCCATCCACAGCCCTGCAGCCCCAGGTGAGCGCTCAGGTGAGCAGGCATCTGCTAGGGCTTTGAGACTACTGGGTGGAGAGGGCGAGTTCAGGGTCTTAGAAGGGGTGGGGGTGGGGGTGCCCCCCGGGAGGGGGTTCTGAGGAAGAGGTGCCTATTGGGGGGTGGGGCTGAGGACAGGAAGTGGCAGCAGAAGCCCTCTGCGGTTGGAAGCTTTGGGTCTTGGGGGGCAGAAAGACACCTGAACAGCAACCTGGAATAATGTGGGTAGGAGTTGGGACCCGCGTGATCTGGGAACTCGGGGCGGACTTGACCAAGAACAGAGGCAGGCCAGCTTCCGTGGGGGCTGACAGAGTCCACAAGCCCCCCACCCCGGGGTGGAGGAGGCTCAGAAGCGCAGCCCTGGGGCCGTGTGTTTGTGGATGTGTTCACTGCCCTAGGCACGGTCGGTCATGAAACCTGACAAACAGGAGCTCCCTGAATTTATCTCGCTTGTCCTGGTTTTACTGGACCCTGGGGCCCAGCGAATCACCCAGCTGGCCCTGGGAGAGAGTGACGATGGCCTGGGCATTGAACCCTTGGCAGGACTGCCCGCCCACACACAGAAAGTTGATGGGGGTGGGGGTGGGGGGGCACCTTATCTCCAGCTCTCCGGGGATAAGGGCCTGGGCTGGGGGGTGGTTCCCAGTGGAACGTGGGGCTGCCTGGAGCAGGGTCCTGGGCGCTGCTGCTGGTTCTCCCTGCAGCAGCAGTAGCAGCACTGGGTTCTCTGCAGCTCCGGCGCTGGACAGGAGGAAGCCGCACCCCAGCCACAGCAAGCCTAACTCCTTCTGTGAACAGTGGGGTGGGGGGCTGAAGACCAGCCCCCTTCGTGTGGGGTTTGAAGGGCGGGTCCAACCCTGGACTGCACTTGGCCGCAGGAATCTCATTGCCCGCTCCTGGAGCTCCCTTATTTTCTCTAAAACAAAACCAAACCGGAGCTGATAAGGGCCTCTTCCTTGTGGGTCGGGGAGGATTGCAACTGCAGCTTCTGCAGCGTTCACTGTGTGCCCTTACCTGGAACTGACTGCCCCCATCCCCCACCCGTGCGCCCCCCCATTCCCCAATCTCTGCAGCTGTCACTATTACAAGCTAGCAAGTGCTCCCTTGGGTTTTGTACCCCAACTCTCACCAATGCCAGGCTCTGCCCCTCACCCGCCTCGTCTTGCTGAGCCCACCCTTTACTCCCCCACAGCCCTGCCCTGCAAGCGCTGACATGGACCGAGGGACCTGGGCCCTTCTCCTGGGACTGGCAGGTAGGTGAGTTCCCCCAGCCCCTAGGTGGAACCTTCCTCCACCCCCACCCAAGGCAGAGGAGGCCAAACAGCGCCTCCTAGAGGTGCCCAGTGTCCACTACACATGCTTTTATTGTGACTCAGTGGGAGGACAGGCAGGTAGAAGGTGGTATTGGGAGAATTCTTCCAGCGGTTCCTCAGTCCTGCACAGTAGAAAAGGCAGGAGCAGAAGAGTTATCCCTGTTTATTCCAAAGACTAAGTAGCCAGGCCCTGGAAGGAAACGTCTCAAGAAAGGGTGAAAAGGAGGCCGGAGCTGTGGCGTAGCAGGTAAAGCCACCACCAGCAATGCTGGCATCCCATATGGGTGCCGGTTCGAGGCCCAGCTGCTCCACTTCTGATCCCATGCCTTGCTAACAAGCCTGGGAAAGCAGTAGAAGATGGCCCAAATGCTTGGGCCCTTGCAGCCACATGGGAGACCTGGAAGAAGCCCTAGTTCCTGGCTTTGGATCGACCCAGCTCCTGCCGTTGTGGCCACTTGGGGAGTAAACCAATGAACAACAGAAGATCTCTCTCTCCCTCTCTCTGTAACTCTGCCTCTCAAATAAATAAATAAATCTTAAAAAAAAAAAGAGGGTAAAAAGATACTGAAACCCCTCCCAGTATGCAAGAATGATAGCAAGAGGCAAGAGCCTAGGGCAGAAGGTGAAATTCTCAGCATATGCAATTTGGGGAAAGGCACAAAGAGGGTCCCCTCCCCTCCTCAGCGGGCTGACCTGGGGGCTCTGGCCACCTCCTCTGCTTCTCTCCCCTGCCCCCAGGCCTGCCTGCCTCGGATGCCAACGACCTGCTGGGTGAGTGAGGACCTGCGTTTCCCCCTCTAAGACCCTACACCCTGCCTTCCTGACTCTGGTCCTGATTCTTTTTTTCTCTTTCTCCCTGCAGATGAAGACAATCCCTTTTACTATGGTAAGCGCCAATGTCCCCCACTGCCCAGCTGCCCTGGCCTGCCTGTCCTGGACCTCTGGAGGGTGGTGTAGACATGACAGGGATCCAGGATTAAACCTGATCTTTGTGGGAGGTTCACTGCAGCGGGGCACAGGCTGCCCACAGGACATTCAGGAAGACTCAGGCAGTAAGGGCTTGGAGGGCTGGGAGCTGGGCCCCCGGATATCTCACCTTTGACCTTTCTCAACTGCCATCCCCCGGCCTCTGCTCAGGGCGCCGCTCAGAGCACGTTCAAAACCCTTCACTTCTCTGTGCCTCCCACCTGGCCTCGCCCCTCCAGACAGCCACGGGGTGGGGAGGGGCGCTCCTGGATTGGCAGCCTGTGCCCCGAGCAGGTGCTCCTAATCAGGCAGCTGCGTGTGGTGGCCCTGGCTGGCTCCAGCTCGCTCTCTGTGTGCCCCCAGACTGGGAGAGCCTGCAGCTGGGTGGCATGATCTTCGCGGGGCTCCTGTGCATCGTTGGAATCGCCATGGCCCTGAGTGAGTGGCGGGGGGCGGGGCTGGGGGCTGCAGGGGCTCTGGCACTGGCTAGTGGTGACCTGGCTTTGCCCCCTCCCAGGTGGCAAATGCAAACGCAAGCGCGGCCCAGACCACAGGTAAGGCACAGGTGCCCTACTGTGTGCACCTCCTGCTGGGGTGGGGGAGGCAGTATTGGGGGGTAAGGTCCTAGGGTCTTGGAGGGTAGGCGTGGCCTCATGTCAGGGCCAGCTCTGCTCCTTGGCATCCTATGCCAGGTGGTGGAGGCATAGCCAGGAGGTGTGTCCCCTCGGGTGTGGGGCGGGTAGGAGCACTGGGGAACCTTGGGGAAGTTTGTTGCTAATGGGATGTCACTCTTTCTCTAGCCCCTTGCCTGAGAAAGCCAGGCCTCTCATCACTCCAGGTGATCTGGGCTTCTGCGGGGCGGGGGCCGGGGCGTATCTGTGTAGGGACTGCCCATCTAGTGGACCTGTCCTCTCCCCCATTCCCCTCAGGCTCTGCCACCAGCCGCTGAGCACAGGACTGGATCGGGCGTCAGATGACTGCACCTCCCCCTCCAAGCCCCGCCCCATGCCTTGCCCTGCTCTCTCCCAGTGCTGTCCAAACTTTATTTATACATTAAATTCATCTCACCCATCCCTCCCGTGGCCTTGTGAGCCTCTGTGGGGGAGGCGGCGGGGTGGGGGAAGGGTGTGTGTGTCCCTGGAGGCCCCACCCCCACCCACATCTCTCACACCTCCCACTCCGGCGAGCCCCTCCCCCACTCAGGGATCCTCTCATTTCGTGAGACACCAGAACCTTCTATCAAAAGGCCACACAGGCCGGCGCCACGGCTCACTAGGCTAATCCTCCGCCTTGCGGCGCCGGCACACCGGGTTCTAGTCCTGGTCGGTGTGGGGAGCAACTGGGAGCAACTCGGACTAGACTAAGTTACTGGAATTAAGACTTATTCTATGCATCTGCTCTCCCACAATATGGCGCTGGGAGAGAAGTAAACAGCTTCCGCACAGCTGCCTCCAGTTCAACCAATAAACTGTAGGACCTGCTCCTGATTGGAGAGCAGCGTACTCGGCGTGTGGGCAGCCGAGTTGGGATTGGCGGAGGAGGACTATAAAGGAGGAGAGAGACGGCATGCACGAGGAACATCTATGGGGAACATCTAAAGGGAACCCGTGCAGCCCCCGAGAGAACCGGCCGGCGGTGTGCCGCTCCCCTGCGGAAGTGGGGAATGCGGCCAGGGGGAACTGCCCTTCCACGGAGGTGGAAGGGATAGTAGCCAACCCGGGAAGAACCAGCAGCAAACCCGGGGAGGGCCGAGCAGACGAAAGAACAGCGCAGGGTTCTGTGTTGCTCCTCCACGAAGAGGGGGAGCGACATAATGGTGCCGTGACTCGGATATGAAGCCTAGGCAGCGTTTAGTGTCGTTCCTCCACGAAGAGGGGGAGCGACATAATGGTGCCGTGACTCGGATATGAAGCCTAGGCAGGGTTTAGTGTCATTCCTCCATGAAGAGGGGGAGCGACATAATGGTGCCGTGACTCGGATAGGAAACCTAGCTCGGATAGGAAACCTAGGACGGATAGGAAACTTAGGAGGGAAGAAACGGGAAGAACTGGGAAAATACCGGAGAGAGAGACTAGCAAAGAACCTAGGGAAAAGCCAGATGGAAAAGGTGCCGGAAGAAGCTATTGAAAGCCTAGGCATAGACTCGGATACGGACTGTGGGAAAGAAGTTAGGATTTAAAGTGAAAGCAAGAAGAAACTTAGACTCAGATACGGACTGCAGGTTGAAAGCGAAAGTGAAACCTAGAAGAAACTTAGACTCGGATACGGACTGTGGGGAAAAGCCAGGAGAAATGAGAGGGGAGTATTGTTGGAAGAAAACTTAGGGAAACACACCGGGTAGAGAAAAATGTTAGGGAGGATGAAGCCGCGAGTGCAGGCCAAGCCATCTTGGAATTCTTCAAGTCACCCTGGGGAGCAAGAGGCGAAGATCTGGAACCAGAGGCAGAGACGTGGGCCGCCAGAATTCGCCAGGTTAGTCCGGGGAACTTGGACTGAATGCCGGTGGTGGCGGAAACATTCGCGGAAGCCGCCGCGTGCAGAGAGCACGGGGCGTTGGCGCGAGGCCGTGGTGCGGGCGCGAAGTGCGTGGAGACCGCGGAGCGTCCGCGCAGAGCTGTGAAGCCGCCGCGGGGCGGGCGCCGGCGGGGCGAGGCGCCGGGAAGCCGCGCGGAGCCGTGAACCCACCGGCGGGGCGAGGCGCCAGGAAGCCGCGCGGAGCCGTGAAGCTGCCGCGGGGCGGGGCGAGGTGCCGAGAAGCTGCTGCGGGGCGAGCGCCGCCGGGAAGCCGCGGGGATAAGAATGAGAGCGGGAAACCGCGGGGATAAGAGAAACAAGTTTAGAAGTAAAATGAGAGAAATAGGAATGCTGGCAGATAGAAGTAAAATAGGAGAAATAGGAATGCCCGGAGGTAGAGAAATAGAGAAAAATAAGGCCTCCCCACAACACAGCAATGAGAGAGCTTGGATTCGGTCTGCCTGATTAGTAAGACGATAAGCACCTGCGGGCAGCTAGCAGCTTATGCGCTGCAGGTCACCGAAGACAGGCACGAATTAACATCAATAAGTCTCCCCACAATACGGCAATGAGAAGGCTTGGATTCGGTTTGCCTGATTGGTAGGGCTTGTAAGCACCTGCAGGCAGTTCTAGCAGAGCAGAGCATGCGCTGCAGGGCACCGAACACAGGCACGCATCAGCGCCTAAAAACCTCCTCACAACATGGCGAAGAGAGGACCCGGATTCAGTTTGCCTGATTGGTAGGGCTTGTAAGCACCTGTGGGCAACTCTAGCAAGCAGAGCAGTGTGTGTGCTGCGGGGCACCGAAGACAGGCGTGTATCAACGCCAAAAATAAAAAGAAAGGGGGATCTGTGGGGAGCAACTGGGAGCAACTCGGACTAGACTAAGTTACTGGAATTAAGACTTATTCTATGCATCTGCTCTCCCACAATATGGCGCTGGGAGAGAAGTAAACAGCTTCCGCACAGCTGCCTCCAGTTCAACCAATAAACTGTAGGACCTGCTCCTGATTGGAGAGCAGCGTACTCGGCGTGTGGGCAGCCGAGTTGGGATTGGCGGAGGAGGACTATAAAGGAGGAGAGAGACGGCATGCACGAGGAACATCTATGGGGAACATCTAAAGGGAACCCGTGCAGCCCCCGAGAGAACCGGCCGGCGGTGTGCCGCTCCCCTGCGGAAGTGGGGAATGCGGCCAGGGGGAACTGCCCTTCCACGGAGGTGGAAGGGATAGTAGCCAACCCGGGAAGAACCAGCAGCAAACCCGGGGAGGGCCGAGCAGACGAAAGAACAGCGCAGGGTTCTGTGTTGCTCCTCCACGAAGAGGGGGAGCGACAGTCGGGGCACTGGATTCTGTCCCAGTTGCCCCTCTTCCAGGCCAGCTCTCTGCTGTGGCCAGGGAGTGCAGTGGAGGATGGCCCAAGTGCTTGGGCCCTGCACCCCATGGGAGACCAGGATAAGTACCTGGCTCCTGCCATCGGATCAGGGCGGTGTGCCGGCTGCAGAGCACCAGCTGCGGCGGCCATTGGAGGGTGAACCAACGGCAAAGGAAGACCTTTCTCTCTGTCTCTTTCTCTCACTGTCCACTCTGCCTGTCAAAAAAAAAAAAAAAAAAAAAAGGCCACACAGCTCCCACCCCTTCTAGGGACCCCGAAAGCCCTGACAGCCCAGCTACCCATGCCATCTTGTAGGTTTCATGACCCCCAGGCTTGCCCTCTGCCGAGCGCCCACACCCACTCAGTGCTCACACAACCCAGGAAACACAGCAGTCCTTCGCCGACAAGCCCTAGCCTACCCCATCTGACCCTCAGACCAACCGATGAGACCTCCTCCCCGACTATGCTGTAAAACTGGGCTACAGCCACGTCCCAGGTAGCCCTGCACAGGGGTGTTGCATGCAGATCTGAGCTCCTTGGTTTGCCCAAACCCCAGCACTCCCAGGGGGCCTCACTGGCACTGTCTCTGCTGCTCCCTGCGGCACAGTTAGGTGTGCGGGGCACAGGGTTAAGCCATGGCTTGGGGCGCCCACGTCCCATATCTGAGAGCCTGGTTCCTCCGCTTCTGATCCAGCTCCCTGCTAATACTCCTGGGAGGCAGTGGGTGATGGCCCAAGTGCTTGGGCCTGCTACCTATGTGAGAAATTAGGATGGAGTTCCTGGCTCCTACCTGGCCCAGATCTGGCTGTTGTAGCCATTTGGAGAATGAACCAGTAGATGGAAGATCTCTCTGTCTCTGTCTCTCCCTCTCTCTCTGTGGCTCTGCCTTTCAAATAAAGACATCTTGGGGCCAGCGCTGTGGTGGGTAAAGCACTGTGCTTGCATCCCTCCACTTCTGATCCAGCTCCCTGCTAATGCGCCTGGCAAAGTAGCAGAAGATGGCCCAAGTATTTGGGCCCCTGCACCCGCATGGGAGACCCAGAGGAAGCTCCTGGCTCCTGACTTCAACCTAACCCAGCCCTGACCATTGTAGCCATTTGGAGAGTGAAGCAGCAGATGGAAGACCTCTCCTTGTGTGTGTCTCTGTCTCTCCCTCTCTGTCCCTCTCTTTTTCTCATTCTGTCTTTCAAATAAATGAATCTTAAAAAAAAAAAAAGGCAAAGACATCTTTTTTAAAGAGGTGAAGGTGAGAGACCAGAGAGGAAGGACAATGGCCTCTACCAAGGAGCAGAAGAAAGGCAGCAGGAACGAGGAATGCGGGTGATGAGCTCCAAGAGGAGGCAGGTGCAGCCCTGCGGGAGAGCCCCTCAGGGTGGGAGCCACTGCGCTGGGGGACCCACCACCTTGGCAGCCACAGGAGGGCGTGGCAGGAGGAAGGCAGGGTTCCAGGAGCTCACCCACTGCCCTGAGCTGGCCAGTGAGGGGTGAGGGTGTAGAGGGAGCCAACGTGGCAGGAAGCCACATTGCAGACCACGGAGGCGCCCCCTGCTGGGGAAACGGAACCCGCCCGTGCCTCCCCGACTTGCAGCCTGGGCGTCCAGTTTGGGATGAGGGGATTATGATCACCATCGTCCACACCCGCCTTGCTGTTTCGTCTCATGGGTCCACTTCCTGGTGCAGACCTGTTAACACACAGGGCTGTTCCACCCTCTGGCTGCTAATCGCTGCTTCCTGTGGGTTTCCACGGTCCTCCTGGTCTTGACAGGGAGCATTCTGGGGTGGGCCGCGAGGTGCCCTGGCCTGTGGCTCCTGGCTGCCGGGAGTCCAGGAAGCTGGACCAGCTATGGATGGGGAGGCAGCAGGGGGGGAGGGCACAGGCTGGATGTGTCAGCCCCAAGCTGTGAGGCTGATTCCCCAGGGAGACAAGCTCTCCTCTTTCCCTCCTTGAAATGGGGAAGGGTGAGGAGCCCTGGAAGGAGACTCTCTCTTCAGGCTTCCAGAGACCCCTTCCCAGATGGAGTTCCTGGCTTTGGCCTGGCCAATCCTCAGCTGTTGGTGTCCAGTGGATGGAAGATATCTGTCACTCTGCCTTTCAAGTAAGTAAATCGTTTAAAAAGGAAGACATTTGGACACAGAAGGTAGCCATGTGACAACAGAGGCAGAGATTAGAATTATGCCTCTATGG